AAGAAGTATCATCGACAGTGATGGGGGAATTGCCTGGTTGAAGTGAAACACGAGGTCAAGTCAAGGTGAAGTGAGGGTCAAGTTGGTGGATGCGTCTAACTAAAGGCTCTGGGGGAGTAGAGTTGCTGGCTGAGTCTGCGAGGTACAGTACTGGCTGAACGTTTTGATCGGCGGGCATGCGTGCACGCGTGCACCTTCTACGGGCATACCCATGTGGAGGTTCGAAGCACTTGTAGGTAGACATGCCCGAGAAAGCCCCTCCAAACAGTGGGGTTCCCAGAGCATGTTAGTTAGGTAGGCACGTACATAGGTACGAGGTACAGTAACTTTTAGGTGGTGGTTGTTAGGTGGCGGGAGCAGTAATGGTAAACAAGGTATGCGTGATAGGGTATGTACGTACGGACGACGGAGTAGTTGCGCATCACTCAACTGGTACTTGGGGTCCATTGGCAAATTCCCCAACGCTTTGACCCATCATCTTTTCATCTTTACTACCTTCTCGTCTGGTTGCATTTTCCAGGGAATGCAAAACCTTATGTACAATAACTTGGCTTGTTTTCTGATGCCTGCCAGAAAAACCTTACTTGATGGCTTGTGGGACAAGGAGTGCTCCTCAAGCAAGCACCCCCCAGTCACCGCTTCAAAGTCTCTATGCCGGCGAATCAGCGATGCGGCTTGCTTCCACTCATCAAGGCGCCTCCTCCAATCTGAATCGGACAGCAAGCTGTCGCTTTGGCAGCGCTCATTTTCGGTCACTGGCTAATTGGCTTGTAACAGGAGCGAACCAATGGTCTCCCCAGTCTGACTCCCGCAAAGACGATCTTCGTTGCCCTCAATGACTGGCCTTTTCAAAAAAGAGCAAAGAGACACACGTACATACAAAGTAGGGGTCCGAGAGTCGAGAACCTGTATCATCGGACCATCATTGGCCTCTTGGAAAGGATCCACGGTACTCAATCAGCACTTATGCCTTCGGTTGCAGGCAAGAACCGTGGCCCAGCCGATCCGGTGAAAGGTTCCAGTCTGAAAACCGACAAGTCCAGCACAAAAGACAGCCGACCCTCCACATCCTCAAAGCACATCAGACCACAGGCCACTGCACCTCTAGATCCTGCCCATCATTCTCGCAGCCTGTTCTCTTTGCGAAGCACCTTCTGACTCGATGGCCCCTCCGGGGCACGCAACGCTCGCTACCCGAGCCTCCGATTGGTAAAGCCCCAGATACCCGACCCTCGTTGGCAGAGACCAGCCCCATCCTCCTGTGCGGCAATATACTTGCGCCAGTGACTACGGAGTGCATCCGCCGGGAAGCGGAGAGAAGAGGTCCAGTAGAAATCGTGGCTCACACTCAATACCTACTGCGAACCTCGTACTTCAAGGGTGCCTCGAGGCTCCAACCAACCTGGCCAGCGCAGAGGGCAACACAAATCGACATCCCTAGTTTTGGGATGCGTCTTCGAGTAAGGCCGCTGCATCCCCACCGCTTTTCAGTAGTTCTCGGATACCACGGGTTTTCGGCTTAGCCTGAGTCGTGTGGTTTTCATTCTTAGACTCTTGCACTCACCCTGAGGCCCCAGTTGACGCCTTGGGGTAACCGCAAGCCATGAAGTCTTTCGTGTCGGCCGGCGCCATTCGAACCCGACGATCTTCTTGCTGTACAATGACCCCTTGTCGCTCTCGCTTTGTTGGAAAGCAGAGATTGTCATTTCCTCTGCCACTTGGGAAGTCACCTCCGTCCAATCAGTCAGGGCCGAAGGTGAGATGCAGTCTTTTGTCATGGCTCGAAACAGAAGTAGTTGCCGCCACCCAACCGTCCAAGACAGCCTATTCTTGACCGTTGCTGGTGGATGCAACCTGAAAGAGAAGGTCAAGGTCAGTAATTACCTGAGCTGCGTGGCTACCCTAGGAGACTGTGCGGCTGCCCCATGTCAGTGACAAGCTGAAAAGCGAGTCACTTAGGAAATGGTCCCCGCTGCCAACATGCAACCACTTCCTAGTGGCGCGCTCAGACGCCCGGCTACTGGTGTAGAGCAGCGGAAAGCCGACGTTGGCCCCGCTATTCTTCCAAAAAATGATATCAGATCGAGATCTCTACCAATCAACCGTTTGCCGTTTCCATTTCCAGCGCTGGCGGATTGAGCTCGCCAGAACCAATGACCAACAGCAACTTCTATCTGACACACATCATGCCAGGGGCGAGACCGTCTTGCTGCATCTCGCGCAATTTCGCCCGTCCCTTTTCGATCCAGAGGTCAGGAAAAGGCCCAAAAAGGAGGGCATGTCAGGGAAAGAGGGAAAAGAAAAGAAAGCAACCGAAGATCGACTCGGGTTGGTATGTTACAACATCCCCATCCTTGCGAAGGGTGACAACATCAAGGTCTATCGAACGGGTATGTCCGTTGTCGACGCTGTGTCATGAGCAACCTCCACACACATCACTGCTTTCCTCGGTGAAATTGTACCTGTTGTAAGGCTGCACTTAGTAGAGGGCCCCCCGTGTTTTCGACAGGTCTAGCCCACGCGCCACTCCATATCGACGTTGCCCCAGCTTTATTTCCGCATGCCCGACTTCTCCTTTGAGCACCCCTATCCTTTCTCCATACCTCCCTGCTTGCTGTGGGCGCTGGACCTACAATTTTCCCCCGGCGGAACCAATGGTGTCAGACCACTCCGGACCTTCGCCTGGAGCAATGTAGATAACACTCGACCAGATGTTGTCGCATCCCATTCCTCGCAGCCAGCAAAGTGGTGTTACAGGCTGTCTTGAAAACAACGCAGATGTCAAATTGCGCCTCAATGCAGGCTAGGTTTGTCCAGTCAAAGGCGTATGCAGCCTCAGCTGCGAGTTTGCGCATCTGCGCCATTTTCCCGGTAACTGGGAAAGGTGCCAAATGCGCTTCTCATATTGGAGCAGCCAGCTTCCCGCCTCCCCGACCGCGACCACCGACCCGACGTCCAGGTCCTCTGCTTGGGATAGGTCCACCCGCCTCGAAGCCCAATGGGAAACTCATGCCTGAGAATGAGGCACCGCCTTGGCCGTCTTCAAGCTTGAACCCCTCTCCCTCGTTCAACAATGCAGACCACAAGTTTTCAACCGCCGAGGTCCAATCGCGAAGTTGGGTCAAGTGCTGCGTGTCACCTGCATGGCTGTCTTCCACTATTACGGTTCCGTTTTCCTGATTGATTCTCGCTTGCAGCTTCTTGTCTACAATCAAGACGGCTAGAATGTCCTGGACCTCGCTGACGGGGATCTTGATATGCTTCGAGATAAATTTGAGGGTGAAGCGGCTGTACGGGGCAATCAGCTTGAGTACGGCCTTTGTACGCATGTTCCGGCTGACTTCGTCGATGTTTTCGGCAATGAATGGATCGGCGAGCAGATCCTGGTTCTCCTTGAGAATGGATTCGTAGCGGTGAATGTCGTCGCGCTGATAGGCGTCCACCAGGTCTGTCATTGCCGAAATGCGCGGGTCGTTCTTGTATGGTTTTGTCTCCTGAGAGTCGAATGGGTTGATGGTCGATTTCATCAACATTGTTGTAAGAACAAGGTATTTCAAGACCTGGATTCTCTGCATGGACCCTGCTTCATCATAGTTCTTGAACGACTCAAAAAAGTCGCTTTGCGCCTCTTTCCAGTTTTCCTCGCTCATGTGCATTTTCCCACCACATTCTCGGATGATGCCTTGGACCTTGGGGTGCGGGACCGCAGACCGAACGGTGAGAGCCTTTTGATACAGCGATTTGAGACGCTTATTGTTCTTCATCTCAGCATACATCTGTATCTCGAGTGCGTACGCCTCGAGGGAATACGTCCCCTTGCCGGGGTCATCTGTTCCGTCTTCCTTCTGGCACGCCTGGTGAATCTCCCTGACCTTGTTGCTAAGTTGACTGTAGTCCTTCTTGTCGAGATACAACTTGGCCAATTTCAGATTCGTTTTGAGAGCCAGTCTCTCATTGTTTGTGCTCTGAAAGGTGTCAAGCGTCAGGCGGTAGAACTCTTCCATGGACTTGTACGCTGTTGTCTCGGTGTCGCCCTGACTCGTGCGAGCGCCTGCGCCAGCGCCAGCGCCAGGCTGACCGGCCACTTTCTCAATATAATCGAGCATATTGTTGATGGACTTTTCCGAGTAGTTCCTCGTCACCGCGGACCTCACATATGTCAACAACTCTTTGTAATGTCTGACCGCGTCGTCGTATCTGCCCAGGGCGAATTCCAACTTGATCGCCTGCTTCAGTCCCTTGAACCCCCATTCTCCCTTGTCCTCTTCCAGGGCGGGGACCCCGAGGAACTCTTCGATTGCTTCGGCCGCGTTGTCGGCTTTTAGTTGTTTGGCATTGTAATATTTGTTTTCGATATCCACTGAAGCGTCGTTACCGCCCAGGTCGTCGTCGTCCTCATATTCAAAGTCATATCTGGACAGGCTATTGTCAATAATGGCGGGATAATACTCTTCGAGACGAGGAGTCTGGTAACATACTGCTCTGGATCAGATTCTTGCATGAAATCGTCATCGTCCGACATGTTGCCTGTTGTGTATGGATGTTTGGGGAATGAGTGGTTGATACGAAATGAGTCGCTGCAGAGATTCGAGGGCGACGCAGCTTTTGTGCCGGTGAAAATCTGGGCGTTATGGCAGTTGACAGATGGTCCGAGGAAGGAGAGGGCTTTCCTGGTCCTGCGACAGGAGATGGGAATGGTTCCAGCAGCGATTGAGATATTGGACAATGAGCAGGTGTGAACGAACTGCGGAGAAGTGAAGGCTGCAACGCAGCCTTGTCCCGCATTCGCATTATTTGTGGAGTTTTCTGCCTGCCGCCACCTGCGGCTTAACTACAAGTTTCCGTTTCTAGCCCTTCACAACGCTATCTCCGGGTACATATTCTACACCAAGCCGCCCAACCTCTTCCCTCGACCTAACACGAATCTTTGGAGGTGGATATCCTCCCATTATCCACGATAACCTCACCCTATCCTCGAGGAGCCGCCGCACGACATCAAAATGGGTGGCGACCTAAATCTCAAAAAATCATGGCACCCTGTGCTCATGAGCAACCAAAAGAAGGTCTGGGAGGAGGAGAAAAAGGCACTGGAGGAGCGCAAGAAGATCGACCAGATCATGAAAGAGCGCGCCGAAGAGAGAGCGATCCAAGAATTGGAAGACCTGCAAGAGGCCGCTGGTGGGAAAAAGAGACAATCTCGTGTTGACTGGATGTACAACGGACCTTCGAGCGGCCAGGCAGGCACCACCGAGGAAATGGAGGGCTACTTATTGGGAAAGAGGCGGATAGACGGCTTGCTCAAGGGCACAGACAACCAGAAATTGGAAAAGTCCGCAAAGGAGGATTCGTTCATGGCCGTGCAGAGCGCCAACACTGCCAGAGATACGGCGGCAAAGATCAGAGAGGACCCTATGCTAGCGATCAAGAAGCAGGAACAGGCTGCATATGAGGCCATGATGAATGACCCGGTCAAGCGGAGGCTTTTGCTAAAGGCGGCGGGCAGGGAAGATGATGATCGGGAACATGATCGCAAAAGGAGGAAACATCACCATCACCATCATCGTCACCGCAGTCGCCGTGATGGGTCTGAAGGACATGAGAAGTCCCGTTCACACCGAGACAACGATGAGGATAGGCATGGAAGAAGTAGACACCGGCACCGCAGATCATACACCCCTTCCGAGTCTCGGTCTCGCTCCAGATCTCCTCCACGGAAGCCCGCGAGGTCGCGATCTCGCTCCCCATATCGCAGAAGACGCTCATATTCCCCCGAAGAACGAAGACGACCACGATCACGCTCCCGATCAACTTCACCACCTCGGAGAAATGGTCACAGCAACGGAGTTCGGAAAATGCAAAGTTGGCACTCTTCAAGGCCTGAGCCAGCAAGGCACCGAAGCCCACGTCGGGAAGAGAAAAGAGCAGATAGCCGCGAAGAAGATAGAGCTGCAAGACTAGCTGCGATGCAAAACGATGCCACTGCCCTCGATCAGCAGCGTGAACAAAGACTGGCCGAACTTGCAGCGAGGGAAAGGGCCGAGAGAGACCGAGACGATGCGGCTCGAGCTCGGACTGCAAAGCACGGTGGACGAGCAGACTTTGTCAACAGCTACCACAAAAAGGCCGGGAATATGACCTTGGGAGAGCGCATGGGACGCAATGCGACGTCGCAGCGAGAGGACGATGAGTGACATTGTTGTTGCCTGTCTACCACACGATGTCTCCCGCGATTTATTGAGGTATTATACTATAAATCATTCGGTTATTGAACCTTCTGAAGACCCATAGGATGGGTTTCGATAGTCTCATCTGTAACAATATGTCAATAGTAAACTTTGCGGACACTTATCTCGCCGTGGTGGTTGTTTATCGGTGGCGATAGGCGAGGCAGAGCTTATCTGTGGTGAAACACCATGAAAACTCTTAGCTTAACCACAACCACTGCAGTATTCACCCCTTGCGCAGGTGGATACTGTGTGTTACAATGGCTTCAATCAAACAGGTAGGCTTTTTGCGGTATTGTCCTTGTTGTAGAGAGTGTTACCCAGTCGCATCTCAAGTGAGTGATCTGTACCTCCATCCCTAATCGCTGCAGGCTTCTTGTTGTCTTGCGCCTCCTTGTTGCTCTGTCTGCTATGGCAGAGGCAATCTCTCCCTTTATTACAATCGGTCAGGACAGATATCATGTCGCATTCGACTCGAAAGCCAGCCGTCTACCTCTCCCCTTCATCACCAGACTCGCTCGATTCGAGGAAGAGCTGATTCCCGCCACTGCCATTGAATGGAACGAGTCGAGCTTCACACCAACTCACTTGGCTTCAGTAACCACGAGCTTCAGCGCCGCAGATGATGTCTGGAGCAGCGATTTCCTCTCCCGTGAGTCTTAAAGCTGCAAATTATTCGACTCGCATTCGTCTGTTCGACTAATGTCCTCGCGCACTTAGTGATTCTCCTGCTGCGACCGCCCGGTACCAAATGCAGTGTCAGGAGACGGCGGATCTTCTCTGTTGGGCACACGGAGATTGAATTGAAGAATGGTCCATACGTCGTGTCAAGGGCGTCCGGGAGAGTCTTTCGTGTCTATAAACTGGCGGCAGACTCCCACCATGCGTTTGTGACGGGCGTTTCGCCGCCGCCGAGTTCATCATCGACATGGCGGAATTTTCCAGTTAGTTCATTATCTCGATCCGCACTCACATAAACTGACCACTCCCAAGCTGCAGTACTGCGTCCCTCTACCTTCGAAGCTGTCTCGGTGTCACGACGGTAGACCCTTGGCGGGCTTGAGATTTGCCGTCAAGGATACGATCGCCATCAGAGGACTGAAGACCGCCTTTGGCAACAACACCTGGCGTGACACCTACCCTCCAGAGAAAGCAACTGCGCCAGTTGTCGAAGTTCTACTCGAAGCCGGCGCCGTCCTGGTTGGAAAGCTCAAGACTACCGAGTTCGCCGAGGGCGTTGACCCTTGCGAATGGACTGAGGATGTTTGTCCCTTTAATCCTAGAGGGGACGGACAGCAGAAGCCTTCGTCTTCCAGTACTGGAAGTGCGGTAGCAGCAGCAGCCTACGAGTGGTTGGATTTCACAGTTGGAACGGATACTGGCGGGTCGATTCGACACCCGGCTGGAGTGAACGGGGTATTTGGGCAACGGCCTTCACATGGGCTGCTCAGCCTTGAGGGAGTCCTTGGGGCCACGGAATTGTTCAACACGGTTGGAATTTTTGCCAGAAGTGTCGATGTTTTCAATCGAGTCGGCTCTTATCTTATATCCCAGGCCCAGGGCCCGTCGAGGGTTTCAGATGGTCGCAAGTACAACTTGCTCTGCCCAACAAGACCTGCAGAGCTCGTCAATGCTGGGGCTTGTCTCCACGGCCAGCACAAGTGGCTTCCTCATCCTTCGATCGATTCAAAGGACTGGTCGCTAGCTGAAAAGCAAATCGAATCGGTGCTCACTAGACTCGAATTCCACCTTGATTGTGAGAGGGTGTCTTTTGACATCGACGAATTGTGGAGAGCCACACCACCAGTCGGTCAGCCAAGGTCGCTTGATCAAGCCGTTGGACACATCTATTCAGCCATTACAACGGCATCAGCTGTTGTGGGGGGTATCAATCAATTCTTCGACAAACACCGAGCCAACAACAACGAACAGTCTCCAAAAGTCTCGGATCTGGTTAACCGCCGTCTTGAGTACGGACGCAACGTGTCGGCAGAGGCGATCACCGACGCCCTGGAGGCGATGCAAGCGTTTAAACTCTGGGTCGAAACGACTTTTTTCGGTTCATACGACCAGGACGCCATCACTTTACTGGTATTTCCGCAGTCCCGTGGTCTGCCAGACTACCGCGACGACATTCCTGATCGAACTCGACTCTTCAACGACAATTTCAGCATTTACTCGTTTGGGTATCTGGTAGGCTGTCCAGACTACACGATTCCAGTTGCAGAGATCCCATACTTGTCGAAGATTACCTCCAAGACTGAATTTCTGCCCGTTTCGATCAGTCTTGTAGGGCCCCCGGGCTCGGATCTGGAGCTCTTCAATGTCGTGCAGCAATTGCACAGGTTTGGTGTGATTTCGGACGTGGCCCCGGGACCGCGACTCTACCCAAAGCACGTTGATGTTCACGAAATATCGTCTACCACATAATCTGTCCGCCGTTCATGTGTGGTTGCTGAACATGACCCGGTTTGAGTATTTCGTTCCCTTGAAAGCTATCAGTCAGTGCTCTGCTGCATGCCTTCCCACAAGCCCAGCCAGGTCAACACGATGTCTGCTCAAGTTTCTGCGATTGCCGCTGGCTGCTTCGCACAGAGACTCCCTGGAGGTACGAAGCAGATTCCAAGGAATTCACAGCATGAGCCGAGCTGCACGACAGTCCTGTCGGAGGATCACCACTGCCCTCCTCAAAGTTTCCTGCTCAGGAGTATTCATGTTGTGACGTTGATGAAGAACACTACGCCAGACGTTGTGGTGCTCCCACTTGAATGCCTTTGAGCATTTGCAGGCAGCAGTCTCCGCAAGCAGCCTCCGCAAATGGCACATCTTTTATGCACCAATAGATGGGAGTTTGAGTACTTTACGTCCCTCGCGTGAAACTCGATCCAGCAATCCCCGAGCTTGCGCAGCCCTGCGTACTACCAGTCTCACACGGTACGAACACGCCAACTAGTTGGCAAGGTGTGGCTACGACCAAATGCGCTGCTATCTCCAGCTTTGTCACATTCTTTTATATCGGCATTTCTAGCTCAAGGCAACCAAGCATCAATGGCTTGCATGTGTATGTATACTGCGCCAGGGAAGTCTCAGGATTGTTTCTTCTCCACTTTCACCAACGCATCAGCACAAGCCTTTGCACTTTTTGCAATAAAACTCGAATCCTGGCCGCCCAGGATATAACCCACGCCCAACTCATGCAACGCCCAGCCGTGGATCGTGGGATTGTCGTAAACCCCACCAAGGCCCATGATCTTGCCGTGCTTCTTGCACGCTTGACTCACTTTCTCCATCGCAGCCTTGTACACCGGGCTGTCAAACTGCGAGGGAATGCCCAGCTCGATGGACAAGTCGTTGGACCCGACGAGGAGCACGTCGACGCCTGGGACGGAGGCGATGGCATCGAGGTTTTCCAGAGCCTCCTGTGTTTCGATCATGACGATAACGGTCGAGCCCAGTTCGTTGGATTCGGAAATCACGACGGAGTGTGGCTGGGCCGCGTATGCGAACTGGGGGAGTTGCCCGGTCATCGAACGTTTTCCGACTGGCGGGTATTTCGAGATGGAGACGGCGGACTCGGCCTCAGCTATGTGATCGGTCACAAAGAGATCCAAGTATCCTTCTCACTCTCTCCCTCGTGGTATGTTTATGAAAAAGGCGGAGGCAAGGAGAAATGAAAAGCGCCAAAGCCGCAAAGAGAAGCACGCTTCAGGGCATTCGCGGATAAGGGGCCGCTTATGTGCGCGTGTGCAAAATCCAAATATACCCGCCTCTCAGTCCCTTGACACGTACCTCTCGTGCTCACATGCGGGAAAATGACGCCCATGGCCCCTCCGTCCAACACCTTCTGGACGAACCCGTCGCCGCACTGGTACGGGACTCTCACGAACGGAGTTATCCCCGCCAGCAGACCCGTCGTGCAAAGCTGGCTGGCATCGCTGACAGACAAGGTCGAATGCTCGAGGTCGATGAAGAGCGTGTCGAAGCCGGCCGAGGCTGCAATCTGCACGACCGACGCCGACGGCGTGAGTTTGATCCCGAATGCCTGTGCTCATATATCTGGCTGGTTATGATGACTTGTTCGTCTCAAAGGGGGGTCTCGACCATGTTGTTCTGGACGTGGTCGGCAAAAACAAAGATGGGGGAGGAAGAGGAGGTGAAGAGGTGCTCAGAGGGACTGGAGAATGCGAGATCGAGAGACAGGGAATTTGGGGGGTGACTATACCTTGCACACCGAACCTGCCTGCCGGAGGCGATATAGATTATTTGGGAAGATTGTCGGCATGGTCTGTGATGTTGCTCGTGTTTTTCTGCTTTTCCTCGAGTATGCTTTGCTCACCCTCCAGCCTTGTAGCCCGTCAATCTATGTGTGCTCAGATTCCAAGAATGATGGCGATATACTTGACTCGAGGGAGGAAGAATACCCACTCTGCCGAGACCACATGGTCTTGCATATAAATCAACCATGTTCTCCTCCATCTCCCCCATCAATCAGTAACTCCTCCATTGAGGACTTTTTCTTCGCGCGGCCGGCCCTTCCCCGCGTGCCCCGAGGGTAAAAAAACTCAATGGGTGGAAAACAAGGGGGTTAGAGTTGGAGAGACTCGCCTCCTCCATGGGCAAGTATCGTGGAGAAGTGCGAGCTTGAAACCACCATTACTCTGGTTCAAACAGACATCCGATCAAGCAACCTCCTCTCGGGGAGAGTTGTTCCGAGAGGGTGCGCAGCCTGGTCTCTCCCTGCCTTCCCAAGTCACCTTCCTAAACAGAGCCATAGGAGGGAGTAGGTCGGAGATGATGGGCCTGTGGTCACTCACTGGGTCGGCCGGTGCATCCATTTCCCCTCTGCTGCTGCAAGCTCCTAGAGGTAGGGATGTACTGGCTGACTGGTAAATTATATGATATCGCTTCGAAGGGGGGACTCTGCGGTTTCGCTGGATCATTTTTCCGGCCTTTGCTGCTCTGGAGGC